GGGGGACAGCATTTCCAGAGTGAGAATGCCATTTTGAACACTGACCTTCATGATCCCTTTCTGAAGCCAACCAAATCTGAGGAGGATAAGAACTAATTTGCTCCATCCTCTCGTACTAATACTTTCTGCCAAAGAGCAAACACACTGGAGTGCTTTCTTTATGCCTTGACGCAAATACGTTGTTTCATACATACTCTTTGTGAACAATACTTCTCATCTTTGATACAGGGGGAAATTGTTTTTTAAAAAATAGATTTTCATTTAAAGCATTTTATAGACATTGGACGCAGATTATGTTCTCGCAACAGATGGCAGAGATAAATACCGAACGGAGATCTCTTCTTAATACCTAATATCAGTTATAATATCTGTTTTGCGAAACAAGAACCTCAAAATAGTTAAGCTGGGGTGTGGGTGGGTGTACATTTCAGCCAGTATATTCTTTGTTGCATTCCACTTACAGAATATCTGACTGATATGTGGACTGCTGCCAGGATTGGCCCACCCATTAGCCAAGGTGAACCCCTTTCCTCAGGCGGCAGCTTGGGATGGGTGACAGATCAATGGCACCACCTATTCCTATGTGCACCATTATGCTGGTAACGAGGAATTTGTCACTGGAAGTGGGAAAGGCTGTCTTTTCATAGGAATGTGGAAGTTACAGCATCTTCGCCTTGCATCTTTTACTGCCTGCTTCCTTAGAGAAGGCAGGTGAACAGGAAGCAAGGATGAGGAGGAGCAGGGCCAGGAAGCTCCAGGGACTGGGGGCAGACCTACATGCCCATGCCCATGTGTAGTGGAAATGCAGAAGACAATTGTATTTCGAGGAGTTAGGTGGCATGTCCCTTTCCCTTTAACATTCCCAGTTGGAGGTCTGCTGGATTCTTGTGTTTCACACACCTGTCGGGAGTTTCTTGGGTTCTTCTGTGTTGCAAGTGCTGGCGGCTGGATGCCCAGCTGCAGGTAGTGGGAGACTCTCAGCCGCTTTGTATTAATTCCATCTCAGGGTCCTGGGCTAATCATGAGTAATGCCAGGTGCACTTGATTACATCAAGGCAGGCTATAAAAGCCATAGGTGGGAGGGGCCCAGAGAGCTTCTGCCCAGATCAAAGGACCTGATGCTGGGAGACCGACAGTTGGGGTCTTTCTCCTGCTGCTCTACCTGGGGCTCCAGGCAGCTGAAGGGGAGATTGGGTAGCCTCTGTTGGGTATGTTTTATGTTATGCTTTGTATGCCTGCTGTTTATTTGTTAATAAAACAGTTCTGGTTCCCCTTCCACCTCATTTCTTTTGTCCTGATATCCTTGGAAAGAACTGCTGTATTTGGCAGCACACCATGCCCATCTCTCAGAGAGGAGCAAGGGGCAACCATTTGGAGGGAGTCAGCAGCTGGGAACCATCTGATGGAAGAACGCAGGAGCGCATGAAAACTCATTAGGCTTTGCTGCTCAAGCAAGGCCCAGTTAGGTCAGGGAAAATTATGTTTCCCCTTCCTGCCCAGCAGAATCCAATAGCCAGATGGGTTAACAGAGTTAGTCTAGGGCCTGGAGGTACTTTACTGAGAGTTCTGCTCCCTGCTGCTCATCACATGGGGACACCACACACATGGATTCAGCAGTTCCCGACATTAATGATCCTCCTGACCCTGGAGGTGGGAATAGGGAAAATACAACAGTGGCGTTCCCTCTCACAGGCTACTGTTCCATAGGGACTAGATAATATATAAGTCATTGAAATAAGTGAATGAAAGATAAGATATTGAAATTGTTTGATGTGTTTTAAACTGTTTTTGTTTTGTTTTGTTAGTTTAATGTGTTAGTGTTATGTAGGGTTTTTGTATTGTATTGTTTATTCTTTTTGTAGTGTCTAAATTGTTGGAAAAGCAATAAATATTATTTTCAAAAATAAAAAAATAATAATATATAAGTCTACTGAACAGCACACAGTGCTCATATAACACCAAGCAAAGCAAACAAAAAACAACTCCGGGTTGTCGTCTGGAAACATTTTTATGCAGCATGATCTAATCTGCAATTTTTAGTACTTTACATAATTTATCCCATTTCTGCAAAACACATTGGGAAGCCATATGCACTGGCCAGTAGAAGCATTATTTGGAAGTTCCTGGAGCTTTGGGGATTTGCCAGGCTTTGTCCACACTTCACTGATATTTCTACAGTAATCAGGACCGGACAGTTCCTTTTGCAAAGCAAATGAAAGCTAAGGCCTCCTCCTCAGGGAGCTACAATTGAGTACCAATACCATATTTGGGTCTAGCATGGAATAATGGCATACAGATAGCCCTGACTGTTGGGATCCTCTCCTTAGAGATCCCCTTATGGCTAATAGTCCACATCACGAGCCTAACTTCAGATAGTTTAGTGGAGAAGATATTTTGTCTTAGCAAAGAGGACAGAGGGCAATACGTTGCTGTTCTGCTCCACTCCAAAGCAAGAGGCAAAAAAACACACTGACAAAGGAATCCTACGTGTATTTATTTCAAAAGTAAGTCCCACTCATATTCAGTGTGGTTTATCCCCGGAAATGTGCATAGGACTGTCCATATGGGCTTTAAGATTTTATTTTATTTTATTTTATTATTTTATTTTATTTTATTTTATTTTATTTACATTCTGAATGCAAGGAATAGCAGGGATGGAATATCACAAGCGCCTTGAACCCGAAACATACTTCTAAAATTAAACATATTTCATCAACCATTCCAGGGATGCTTTTGCATTTCTCCTGAAAAAGACAGAGAGAGCAAAAGCCCCACCTTGTGGCGAACAAATGGTGCAATTCTCATGCAACAATACTTTTTTCCAAGTGAATGACGAATCTCCTTTTTTAATAGCTAAAGGGGAAAACCTTCTCTGCTTTAGTTTATTTCTCCCATAGTTGAATAGTGGATAATCCTATGCATGCTTACTGAGAGGCAAGCCCTACTGAGTTCAATGTAAGAATGTGTGTGTGTAGGATAGCATCCTAAAGCCACTTCCAATGGCAGCTCCTCAAACTCTGCTGGAGGTCACACAGGAAGGTGTCTTGGCATTGCAGAATGGCTTTTTTGAGCGCTTTTGAACGAAAGGGAAGTGGCAGTAGTGGTGCCCCCCCCGTGGAACACCCTCCCATCAGATGTCAAGGAGATAAGTAACTATATAACCTTTAGAAGACATCTGGAAGTTTTTAACGTTTAACATTTTATTATAATTTTGTTTACGCTGGAAGATGCCCAGAGCGGTTGGGGCAACCCAGTCAGATGGGCGGGGTACAAATAATAAAAATTATCATTATTATTTTTAAGTGGGTCAGAAGCCCTGATGAGCACAGGGAAGTTCTCAGCATAGCCCTCTTCTCCTCTCTGATGGGACATATCTTCTAAACCAGTTCCCACAATGAAATGTTTTCTATCTGGCCATGTTCTCCTAGCATTGGCCGATCTCCCAGTTTGTCGTTTCCATTTTGCCTTTGATTATTTTTTCCTGTTTTTATTTCTAATGGCAAGCTATGCTTGGTTACTCTTGAAGAGGAGGGGCTGTCCTCCCACACGCTATGGTATGAGTAGTTTGATTTGCATCATCCTGCCCAGTGGAGTGAATGGGAGCCCCAGTGCACCCCACAGCCCTGACATCAAAGGCAGCTGTATAATGTAAGCTGTATAATGGCAGAGCTACTCCCTGTTTTTCCCAGAGGGTTGGGGTTTTTTAAAGAAGGAACATTTTAATTTAAAATATCTGGAAAAGATTGATATAAAACTAATCTGATGCAATGGTTAAAGTGTTGGACTAGGACTTGGGAGACTCAGATTCAAGTTCATACTGGGCCACAAAGTTCACTGGGTGACCTTTGGATAGTCACTGTATTTCAGCTGAACTCACCTCACAGAATTGTTGTGAGAATAAAATGGAGAGGGAGGTGGACCAAGCCCTCCACCTTGAGCTCATTGAAGGAAAGGTGGGATATAAATATAATAAGAAAACAAACTTTACAAATGTGCCAAAAATAAAAAGAGTCCCCAGATGTTGCTTAGATATATGGTTCATGACTTGAAACGAGTAAGTGTTCAGCTAAACATTCTGCAACTGATACATCATTGTGCTTCTGTAAGAAAGCAGGCTGGGAGAGATGTTGCCTCATCTGTTGACTTTAATAGCCTTCAAAAAGAATGACACTTGGAAAAACTTACATCTATTTTAGTTCATCGATCAAGAAGGGGAAAGTGGACATTTATAATGGCCTTAGTCCTTGAAACTGTCTCCCAGCGTCTCTGCTTATACAATGTGAAATACTCAAAGCATTTGGCTGCCTGAGGCAAAGGACAAGATGGCACCCACAGACCCTATTCCACAAACGAAGCTGACAATTGCATCTTATCAACATGGGTGACAGGATAACATTCTCCACAGCACCTAGATTGCAGACAAGGTTAGGGGCACAGGGGAGACACACATGAGGCACACATGGTTCTGGCCAGTGTGTTTTTTCTAAAAAAATGTTTAGGGGTACTCTCATTCCGTCTCAGGAGACTCAGGAAATGCCGTGACAGGAAATGAGGCCACCATCGGGAGTAGCAACGGAACTGATGATTCACCGTGCTAGAGAAGAAACTATTTTTTTTAAAAAAAATTGTTTCTTCTCCCATTAGATTCACAAAATGTTTAGGAGTATGTGTACCCCTGCATCCCCCCAGGAAAAAAAGCAGTGGCTCTGGCCACATTTACACAATACATTCAAAGCACTGTGGTTTCACTTTAAACAGTTGTGGCTTCCCCCAAAGAATTCTGGGAGCTGTAGTTTGTTTAGGGTGCTGAGAGTTCTTAGAAGTCCCTCATTCCCCTCTCAGAGCTACAATTCTCAGTTCTGAGTGAAGCGTGATTGCTTGTTAAACCACAATGTGTGCACTCTGCCTGCTCCGACTGTCAGCAGCTCTCAGGCCTTTCCCATTACTTGCTACCAGCCCCTTAAATTAGAGACTGAACCTGGGATTCATCTTCATAGGAAACTGCCATAGCTCAGTGGAAACAGCATCTGCCTTGCATGCAGAAGGTGCCAGGTTCAATCCCTACCCACTTTAGGTAGAGCTGGGGACTTTCCATGCCTGAAAGCCCAGAGAGAGACTGCCAGTCAGTGTAGACCATACAGGACTAGAGAGACCAATGTCCTGACTCGTTATAATAATATTTAATATATATATCTATATATATTTAATAAAGCAACTTCCTGTGTTCCTTCGTGCAAAGGATGTGCTCTGCCACTGAGGGTCCCACCCCATCATGCAATCACAGACCCTGCACAAACTACAGTCTTGAACATGCAATTGAAATGGCTTTGCACATTCACAGCACTGCTGCATCTTCACTGCATGTGAAAAGCTGCTTGCAAATAGCCTTGTGAACAGGCAGGGGTTCATGCAGTCCTGTTCTTTGAGTTCTCTTGCTGCATAGGAAGCCTTGAACTGGGGTGGGGGGAAAGCATAACAGAAACTCAGTTTGTTGTTGTTGTTGTTTAGTCATTTAGTCGTGTCTGACTCGTGACCCCATGGACCTGAGCACGACAGGCACTCCTGTCTTCCACTGCCTCCCACAGTTTGGTCAAACTCAGCTGTAGCAATAATATCAGACAATTGTTTTTTTAAAAAGCGGGGGTGGGAGGTGGGGAGGGGAGAGACCAGAATGAATGTATGTCAAGTTGCTGGAGCCATCCCACGTTTCCACACGTCAGAGAGCTGCTAAGAATCTGACATGAATATTCATTGCCATTTTGTATGTAACTCTTTTTTATTTCCGTTTGCAACTCTTTAGTCTCTCATTCTGCCAAATTAGTTCCCTAGCAAGAATATCATTTGCGGTAGGGAAAACGACTGTGAATATTTAAACCCATATATATAATCTCACCAGAAAACATTTCCTAAGGTCTTGTGGACAGATTGTACCTGTTCCACATGAGGCAGCAAAATGTCTTTGGCCAGCCTTTGGGCGGACTTTGGCCTTTCAAATCTTAGCCCACCCTCACCTCTCGTGGACAAGGTTGCAGCCAGAAGCTGCAGTCTTAAACACAACTTATGCAGAGTCAGTCTTGCTGAACACAATAAGCATGCACAGGGTTGAACTTCAATTAATAAAATGTCCGTGGTGTGCAAAATAATTATAAGAAGGGATATATCCAACATAGAGTTAAGTAACTGCCCTGCCAGTGCAAGAATTTACATTTGTGGAACTGGATTTCCCCTTCCTCCCGCAGCATGCCCCTCGCACCCTCCCTGCTCCTTCTGCTCCACAGAACAGATTTAAGAGGTGCCCAATGGGAGAAGAGGGTGGAAGTCCGATTGTGCAAATGCAAATCCTTATGCTAATGGGTCATAGGGCTACATAGAATACAAGGTGATGATAATTCCATAGACAAGTTACTTGAATGGGCATGGATGTATCCTAGTGGTCTGTGGGCCTAGACTCCCAAAAATCATCAAGACCCAAAGCAGGTCACCCCATTGAAACATTCTTTTCTAGGGACCAAATAGTAAGACCTGCCTGGTTACTACTGATTATTGCAGCTGCTTTGTACTCCTGGGAAGGATGTGGGTGGTGCTGTGGTTTTATATCTTGGTTTTATTCTGTGAACTGCCCTGAGACCTCTGGATATATGGCGGTATATAAATAATAATAATAATAATAATAATAATAATAATAAAAAACCACTGAGCCGTTGGGGCTTGCTGATCAGAAGCTTGGTGGTTCAAATCCCCACAATGGGGTGAGCTCCCGTTGCTCTGTCCCAGCTCCTGCCAACCTAGCAATTTGAAAGCATGCCCGTGCAAATAGATATATAGGTACCGCCCCGGCGGGAAGGTAAACGGCATTTCCATGCGCTCTGGCTTCCGTCACAGTGTTCCGTTGCGCCAGAAGTGGTTTAGTCATGCTGGCCACATGACCTGGAAAGCTGTCTGCAGACAAACACCGGCTTCCCTCGGCCTGAAAGCGAGATGAGTGCCGCAATCCCATAGTCGCCTTTGGCTGGACTTAACCGTCCAGGGGTCCTTTACCTTTTTACCTTTACTCCAGGGAGCAAATGCAGCCTTCTAAACCTCTCTCTTTGTCCCTTGAGACTCTTTCCAGGCTGCGACCCCTTCCCAGGCTACCATCCTCCTCAGCCTTGTCCTGTGCTCTGCTTAAGCAATCTTGCCTGCCTGGAACACGTCCTTACACTGGGATAATGACTTTGGTTGTTTGCCTGGATAGAGGACAGAGATAGGTTTGGGAGTGGAGCGGGTATAGGAATCTCTTGGTGTTTGCATGGCTGGAGTACACCTTACGATACAAAGTTAAGAGTCACATCCATTGCTCTCCCCATTGTGCCTTGGGCCCCACCCATCCCTGGTCTGTGGGCCCTGGAAGTTGCCCTCAAGGGCCTCTTGCCCTCTGCTTGAAAGAAGTTCCCCAGCCTTGCTATAACCGTATGATGTCAGCATTAGAATATTACTTACACCAGATAATAGATAATATCTAACACATAATGAAACATGTTCTATAAATTTGAGCTCCACAATCAGATTTCTGTTTTTTCAGTCCCAATCTAGCTAGTGGATAGAAGCAAGCATACAGAATTTGTTTTTGCCTTCCTGTCCATTCCTTGAGCTGCTGCATTATTTTGCAGATTCCTACATTCTGTAGCTCTCTGCCGATAACTTGACAAATTTGGTTTAACTGTTTTGATGTAATAATCTAATTAGGTAATGAGTTCAGCAACGGATCGTGTTTCGTTAATGTAATGAGTATGGGTTGCTCGTGCGTAAGTTGCCGCCTCTCCTGGCTATGTTGCCTTGTTAAACCTTTCTGTCTGGACAGCCCTTCACTTCGTGGCTGCCTCAGTCGCTAGCAGAATCCGTCAGTGGGCGTTTCTTAAACCTTTCCAACATAAAAGTTGTTTGACGCCAAGTCTCCTCCTACTCTCCCTGCGCGGAAGTCTTCTGAGCAGAGAGGGCATGGGTAGCGGAGGACCCGTGCTCTCCCCGCTGGTGTCCGGTGAAGAGTCCTGGAGCCCTCTCGCCGATTCCCTCATCTGCCCCCCTTTATCCCTGGTGTTGCGCTGATTTGCTTCCCCATCTGCTGAGCTGCCTCTCTCCCTGCTGGGCCCTTCTCCAGCATCATTTGAGAGCCTTCCCTCCGCCTCTAACTCCGATGTCAGTTCCCTGACAGTTAATTTCAATCATCTGCTTCCGCATTTGTTGATATGTATACCAGATTTTCAGTGCTTCTCTGCTCTAATAGTAATTAATGGTACTGTTAATAAACTACATATATCATATTATGCAGCAATAATTCACCAATGGATCATTTTATGAGACAGATTATATTTAGCAGTGGTAGAAAATACTTCACGTTACTGAATACTGCACACTGCTAACTAGTTGTTTTACTTTCCTCTTCGTGAAGTCCCTAATTAATTTATTGCACACTTCATGCATAATTTGAAAATTTAAAAAAAAATGTTGCCAGGTCATGTTTTATCATCTTTTATTTAAAACATGCTGTCTGCTTTTACAAGACACATATTAGCCAAACATGACCCTTATGCAAATTTGCAGAGACCTGATGTTGTTTTAATTCTGAGTCCTTGTGAGCAGATTCCAAAGCAAATATATCCTCATCTCTGGTTTTTCCACAGGCTTGCTTTGCCTTTACCAAATTGTTTTCTTCCTGAAATGAAGAAACCGACATTACATAACACAGCACAATAATTTCTTTGCCAAATTTGCTTTCAACTCAAGCCTTTAGTGAAACTGAAAAAGAAAGTTATTACTAAAAACAAATAAAATAAAATTACAGATATGACCTAGGTGTTGAGGTTTCAACTTAACCAGTAGTGAGAATCAGTTCTGCTCTCTGCCTAACAGGAGATTGCAAGTGTTACAATTAGTTATAGAGACAGCTCTGAATAACTACTGGCATTTTTATTTTCATGGGAAGTGGAAAACATTATTTCTTAACTCCAGTAGCTCCTAAAGGATCTCTCCAAACTGAATGAACTGGCAATAAAAAGACAAGTGCAATTCAATGCAAGTAAGTGTGTAGTGGTCCACATTGGGGCAACCCTCCCCTCCCCCAAAAATAACATCTTTCCCTGGTAACAAGATCTTGAGTTTGTAGTGGATAGCTCATTGAAGATGCTGACACAGTGTGTGGCAACAGTGAGGGGGAATGCATATTCCGTGCTAAGGATCATTAGGAAAGGGTCCTAAAATACTATACAGATCTATGGTAGAAGAAGAAGAAGAAGAGTTTGGATTTGATATCCTGCTTTATCACTACCCGAAAGAGTCTCAAAGCGGCTAACATTCTCCTTTCCCTTCCTCCCCCACAACAAACACTCTGTGAGGTGAGTGGGGCTGAGAGACTTCAGAGAAGTGTGACTAGCCCAAGGTCACCCACCAGCTGCATGTGGAGGAGTGGAGACGCGAACCCGGTTCCCCAGATAATGAGACTACCGCTCTTAACCACTACACCACACTGGCTCTCAGTACAACCATATTTAGAATAATATGCACAACTCTGATCACATAACCTCAAGAAAGCTACTGTAGACGGAGGTGTACCTAAGCTCCCTTGCACCCTTGGCAAGGAGATGTATCAGTGTGGAGAAGTGTGATTTTTTGCACACACACATTCCAGGGCCTGCACCATTGGTGGGAGCCAAACTGGCCAACTCCTAGGTATGTCCCCCAGCCTGGCTGTAGTTCTGGAAATGTTTCAGGAAGAGGCAACTGAAATGATCAAGGGGTTGGAGGAACTCCTCTATGGGAAAACATTACAAGATCTGGGGCTTTTTAGTTGAGAGAAAAGGTAAATAGGGACAAGAGGTGTGTAGAATTAGAGAAAATGGATAGAGAGACATTTCTCTCTCTCTATTAATACTTCAGCTTGTGGGTTTCTCACAGACATAAGGTTGGGCATTGTGAGAACAGAATGCTGGACTACAGTAGATGGGACTTTGGCCTGATTCAGCGGGACTCTTACGCTATGTGTTATTCTACTATTTCTTTCCCCCCACCTTCAATACATAATACAACTTTTTTGTCACTGCAACA